TGTATGACTTTAAACAAACTGCTCATCTTCTTTGAGTCTGTTTTTCTTTTTACCTAAAATAGGATTAGTAGCTGACTTGCTTGCCTTACAGGAATGTTGTGAAGATAGTGGAAGTATAGGAAAATCATTTGAAAGACTATAGAATGCTGAAGAAACGCAGGCATCTCTTATTTACCTTTAAACTCACAGCCCAGAAAGAGCTTAGAACTGGGAGTAAAGGTCTCAGAATATAGAAGTGACTGAGCCACTAACTAGATGTTGACTCTGGGTAAATCACTCCATTCTTCCTGCTCTGTAATGTGCGAGAGTTTATCAGTCAAATTATGATCAGTGATTGGGCAAAAAACAAACACTGAAGCCCAAGTCCAAGTTATTAACTGAGGGGAGGTACCCTCTAGGTTAGTTCCATTCCTCTTGGAAGTTTGGGTTATGTCAATATTTGTATTTAAAGCTAATCTGGATCCCTTGAGAAAGTGAGACAAATGCGGCCAGTGGCCTTCATTGAGAAGACATGGTTTTTACACTTTATACAGGAAAAGAAAGAGAGAAGCTGAGAGAAGAAAGAGAGATGTGATTGCTGGCATCATTTCACCTGAACAGAACACCAGGATCTGTGCCTATCATTATGCCTGGATCTAGCACCAGAACTGGAAATTATTTAAGGTAAAAATGAAGAAAATAAAAAGATAAAGTGTGAGATAGGTTGAGTAAAAGACACTTCATCTTTAGAGATGATATTGAGATGACAGTAGGACATTAGCTCAAAAATATCTGTAAGGGCTTGGCGCCTGTGGCTCAAGTGGCTAAGGCACCAGCCACATACACCCAAGGTGGCAGGTTCGAATCCAGCCCAGGCCCACCAAACAACAATGACGGCTGCAACCAAAAAATAGCCGGGCGTTGTGGCAGGCGCCTGTGGTCCCAGCTACTCAGGAGGCCAAGGCAAGAGACTCGCTTGAGCCCAGGAGTTGGAGGTTGCTGTGAGCTGTGATGCCATGGCACTCTGCCCAGGGGGATAGCTTGAGGCTCCTGTCTCAAAAAAATATATATATATATATCTGTAAGCAAGTCTACTTTCAACATTGATGTCTTATTTTCCTAAATTACTATAAGGTCTTAACATTAGTGCCCTGTAATTGAAAGGTCATCTACTATTTTCCAAGTTCTTTCACCTTATTAAATTCCTTAATTTTTATAGTAATCTTATGAGATAGCATTAGGCAGCACAAGAAAGAGAGAAGGGTATTGCCGGATCAAGGAGTCTGTCTGTCTGTTATTTAAGCCAATTAACAGAGTAGTGAATGAGAGATCAATAATTTTATTTTTATTTATAGAAAAGCCAGCACTTTTGAAGAACAGAAAAGAAAAAGAAATAGAATCATCATCTACATACCAAATAATCTAAGCCAGATTCCTGGGCTTTTTTTTGTTGTTCTCACTTATTTTACAAATACTCATTGATTGCCTTGCCTAATATCATAACTGACCTTGAGCCTGGGGATACAGTGCCAAAGAAGACAGTGAACCTATATTTGAGGAGATCACAGTGAGAGGTGGCAGCAGCCCAGAGGAGGGAGTCGCACACACTTCATCAAATGGGTGGCCTCACAACAGAGACTTAAAGGCGATATAGGAGTTTGCTAGGTAGATAAATAGGGGCAGGGTATAGAGGCTGAAGGAATAGCATCCACAAGTCACACAGACACAAGGAAACATTGGGTGCTCGGGGAACAACGTGCAGCTCAGTACTACTAGAGGATACAAGTTGGCAGAAACGAGATCATCTTGAACAATTTTGAAGAATTCTCTCTCCTCCTTTCACTCATGGTCTTCATGCCTGCACAGTCCCCAAGTCCTGGAGATTTGTTTCCTTCTGTCCATCCTCTTCTACTGATTAGGCTCTACTGCTATGTCCAGCTTGGACCATTGCTTTTGTCATCCGACTAGACTCTCTGCCCACAGTGGGCACCTTTGCAAATCATCGTCCTCTTGCCTCCCCATTTTGTTAGAACAAGTACAAATATTTTAGCCCAGTTTACAAGCACCTACCTCTATCTGGTACTTGACTGCATCCCAGATTTATTTCTTGTAGACCACCCCCATCCACCATTCCATTACTTAACTAATATCTTACTTTATTTTGTCCTTTTAAAATTAATTTCTCAACAATCTTCCTCCATTCTTTAACTTTTTTTTTTTTTTTCAAAATTACCTTATTTTATTTTTGTTGTTGTAGCTGGACTGTGTGAGGCTCGAACCTCCACCCTTGGTGTATGTGGCCAGCACCTTAACCACTGTGCTATGGGCGCCAAGCCCATTCTTTAACTATTAATAATTTTTGCAGCCCCCTTTTCCTGTCAGGGAAGGTCACACCTCTGTGCCTTTGTTAAAGCTTATTCCTCTGAGGGAATATACAATATTTCCCCTTCTCCAACAGTGACCTCCCACTTACTTGTCAAGACTCTAGACTCAGGGCAAGTGTTACCAGCTCTGCGAAAGCTTTCTTTTTCTTTTTTTCTTTTTTTTATTGTTGGGGGTACAAAGAACCAGGTTACAATGATTGCATTTGTTAGGTAAAGTCCCTCTTAGAATTGTGTCCTGCCCCCAAAAGGTGTGTCACACACCATGATCCTCACCCCCTCCCTTCTTCTCTCTCTCTGCTCTCCCCTTCCCCTACACCCTACCGCGTACTAGGTCACTGATTGTCCTCATATCAGAATTGAGTACATGGGATTCTTGCTTCTCCATTCCTTTTTTTTTCTTTTTAAATTATTTATTTATTTTATTTATTTTGAGACAGAGTGTCAAGCTGTCACCCTGGGTAGAGTGTCGTGGTGTCACAGCTCACAGCAACATCAAACCCTTGGGCTTAAGCAATTCTCTTGCCTTAGCCTCCTAAGTAGCTGGGACTACAGGTGCCTGCCACAACGCCCGGCTATTTTCTGTTGCAGTTGTCATTGTTACTTAGCTGGCCCAGGCTGGGTTCGAACCTGCTAGCCTTGGTGTATGTGGCTGGTACTGTAATCACTGTGCTATGAGCACTGAGCCCTGCTTCTCCATTCTTGTGATGCTTTATTAAGAATAATGTGTTCCACTTTCATCCAGGTTAATACAAAAGATGTAAAGTCTCCATCTTTTTTATTATTTTATTTTATTTTTATTATTTTTTGTAGAGACAGAGTCTCACTCTATCACCCTAGGTAGAGTGCCATGGCATCACACAGCTCACAGCAACCTCCAACTCCTGGGCTTAGGGAATTCTCTTGCCTCAGCCTCCCAAGTAGCTGAAACTACAGGTGCCCACCACAATGCCCGGCTATTTTTTTGTTGTAATTTGGCCAGTGCTGGGTTTGAACTTGCCACCCTCGGTATATGGGGCTGGCGCCCTACCCACTGAGCCACAGGTGCCACCCAAGTCTCCATCTTTTTTAATGGCTGAATAGTATTCCATGGTATACATATACCATAGCTTTTAATCCATTCCTGGTGTGAAGACTTTCTTGACACATCTCTTTCCTCAGTGATTTGTAGGTTTCTTGATGATGGAGATATATTTCAAATATCTTGTTCCTTCACACCCCAAACAGTGCCTGGATAATACTGCGTAGGCAATAAATATTTGTTGAATGGATTAATAAAAAAATTCCTAGCAGTCATTTGGCATTGAACCATGTACAGTCCTGTTTTCTATTGTTTTCTAGGATATGTTTTTTCATTATGAAACGATGGTACATTTTCTTTTTTTTTTTTTTTGAAACAGAATTTCATTATGTTGCCCTCATTAGAGTGCTGTGGTGTCACAGCTCACAGCAACCTCAAACTCTTGGGCTTAAGTGATTCTCCTGCCTCAGCCTCCCAAACAGCTGGGACCAGAAGTGCCCACCACAACACCCAGCTATTTTTTGTTGCAGTTGTCATTGTTGTTTAGCTGGCCTGGGCAGCTTTTGAACCTGCCAGCCTCGGTATATGTGGCCAGTGCTGTAACCACAGTGCTACGGGAGCCACACCAATGGTATGTTTTCCGAATGCAGAGACTTTTTTTTATTATTATAAAAGAGAGACATGGAAATTATTTATATGATGAAAGATTTCAGAACTTCAGTGGAATAGGCAGCTTCATGTCAATGCTATTTCAGTAATGATTTATTTCAGTCTACATACTTCCCAAGAATGTCACCATCTGTAAATAAGAAGTACTCCTTGTCATCTAGAACTACTTTGGTGCCTCCATATTCTGAGAGAAGAACTTTATTTCCACCTTTCACATTAACTGGTTGAATCTCTCCACCCTTTCCTTTTTATTTTTT